TTCCAGGACACCCGATATCCCAGTTCCTGGAGGGCTTTCAGGAGGCCCTCGGTGGCTGCAATGCACTCTTTATCGGTTGAAGTCACCACCAGGAGGTCATCGACATACTGAAGAATAGTCACCTGGGCAAACACTTTTCTCACCTCTTGCAGATCTTTGCTGAGAGCTTCCCTGAACGAGTGGAGGAGTTTTGAATCTCTGCGGCAGCCAGGTCCATGTCAGCTGTCCGGTTGTTCCGGCATCTGGATCAGTCCATTCAAAGGCAAACAGGGGCTGGCTCACAGGTATTAGAGGCAGGCTGAAAAATGCATCTTTAAGGTCTAATACTGAGTACCATACATGACCAGGAGGGATGAGACTCAACAGAGTATACGGGTTTGGTACTGTTGGGTGAATGGTCTCCACCTGGCTGTTTACTTTCCATAAATCCTGTACCAGTCTGAAGTCTGAGGTGTCGGGCTTTTTCACGGGAAGCAGTGGTGTATTCCAGGCTGTCTGGCAAGGGATCAAGATGCCGGCTTTCTGGAGTCAGTGGATGTGTTTGGAGATCCCCACCTTGGCCTTGTCAATCTTTTTTATCTACTAGAAGAACCCCGTCTCTTTCTTTCTCAGTCTCTTTCTCTCTCTTTCTTTTTAACTTTTCACAATCCCTTTTATAATGACCCTTCTCTTTGCAATATGCGCATTGATCCTTCTCTAACAAGGGCCGTACTTTACTTTTATCCTCTTTTTTATTTTCTCTGTACTCCTTTCAGATAAAACCTCCATCTGCCAAGGCTGTAATGTTCACCTTTCCTATCTTTTTCGCCATTCTATTCTCAAAAGGATCCCTATTGTTAAACACCTTCATTGCCACACTCATCAACTTTTTCCTATTCTCTCCCTCAAATCCTTCTATCCACTGCAGTTTCTTTCTAATATCTGGGGCCGACTGAGTGACAAAAGCCAAATTAATTGCCTGTCAATTTGCAGGGGCATCTGGGTCAATTGGAGTATACGTACGGTATGCTTCCAACAGATGCTCCAGAAAGGCAGAAAGGGATTCCTCAGGTCCTTGGAAGACCTTGCTTATCTTGCTCAAATTGGTAGGCTTTCAAGCAGCTCCCCTCAAGCCGTCTAGGAGATGCTGATGGTAGTTTTGGAGAGTTTCTCTCCCGCCCGAGGAATTAACTTGCCATAGGGGATGGGTGGACAGAAGTTGTGCCTCAACACGGGCCCGGTCTTGCTCATCAAGTGGGCCCTCTGTTCCTCCCAACACTGATTTTATGGCTTGCCCTTGGATCCTCTCTCTCTCTCCTTGGAGGTGAAAAGGGCTTGAAGGAGTTGTTGACAATCATCCCAGGTAGGGTCATGGGTATGAAAAACAGATTCTAGGAGGGAGATCAAAACCTGGGGCTTTTCTGAAAAAGGGGGATTTTGATGTTTCCAATTGTACAAATCACTGGTAGAGAAAGGGATATAGACATAATGACCCTGTTCTATTTATTTCCCTAAGAGGCAGAAGAGGAGCTGAACTAGTCCCTTCAGTGAGAGCTCCGCTGGGACCATAAGCGGCCCCGTTTGCATGTGGGAGGGGGAGGTTACAGAATCCGGAGATTTTTCTTTTTTGGGAAGAGGAGGGGAGAGAAGGTTTTGAGATCTGGGGCCGGCTTTATCAGAGGAGGAGGATGGCTCCACGTAGGGTGGAGGTCTTATAACAAAATCTAAGGGGTCAGGATCTTGTGAGAGCACTGGCTTGGGAGCCGGGGTTTTGGCCTCTTGGGGTTCCCTTGGGGCCATAACCAAAACGCGAGAGTTTGTTCACAAGGAACAACACTGCAACCATGCTGGAGGCTCTTGACAAGCCCGGACCCAGATATTTATATATGGAAACTGATCAGGATGGCTAGGGTGTCTGGTGACCCTTCTCCATACCGCCCTGCAGAGACTTGGGTCAAAAGAGCCCTCAGCTGGCCATCCAGCTCCAAAGGCCGGCCATTCCAATTGACACAGGGAGCAAAGTTTTCCGTGAGAAAATTTAACCCCATATTCATTCTCCTGTTCGGGGGGAAAAAGCCAATTTAAAATTAGTGAGAAAACAATCCAATGGGGTATTTCTGGAGCAGGATCCTCCCATCTCTGTCCCTGATGGTTTGGAAAGAAATTCAAAATTAAACACACAACGAATGGAAAGAAATTCAACATTAAACACAAAACGGATAGGACACTAATGTATAAACGACAAGACGAGCAGGCGCCACAACAAAAGCAAAACTAAATCTTCCCTTGTTCCTTGTCAGGAACCTTGGGGTCAGGGGAGGCTTACTGGCCCGTCAGCCACCTCACTCCTGACAACAAACGGTTGCAACGGGCCAAAAACTTACCTCCGGAGGTTTTCTGAGGTCTGTGCCTGAGTCTCCTGCTGGATCCCGCCACAGAGTCTCGGCTGAATGGGGGTTCCTTACCCAGGGATCTCGCTGGGGCCTCCAAAATGTAAGACTGAGGGCCTTACCAAATGCTCTGAGGAGCTGACTGCAGCGAAGAACACCTAGAAAGGAACACACCGGACAAGTTGAAAAATAAAACAGACCTTTATTAGTCTGGCCAGACGGCAATCCCAAAGCAAAATAGCTTAGAGAGGCAACTGGCTCAGAGTCCGAGGCTGTTCTTATAGGGGGTTCAGGGGGAAGTTAACATATAGAATTAAAGAAAAGGGACAAAGGTTAGTGGTCAACTGTCACATATTGATGGTCAGCAGACATTTGCAGCTTGTTTTATAGATTGTGGTGTCCAGAACATCAGTTCCGGACAAACAAGGAGTTGAGTAGTTTACTTTGGGACTTTAGGTCTGTTACGGATTTTTATCTAGTGTCCCAAAACTAACAAGCATCTTTATCCATTAACTCACATTTAATCACACTGGGGCTAGAGAAAAGGAACAAAGGTTAGGCAGTCCCACAAGCAAGTGCTTGAAGGGGTGCCACATGCCAGGTACAGTTCCCAGGGAACAAAGCTTGGTTCTAATGAGGGGAGACAAGCAAAAATGAGCAGAGAGACAGGGTACTATCAGGTAGTGATAGATTCTATGAAGAAAATAAAATAGGAAATGAGTTTAGTAGTCAGCAAGTACCTTGCTAAGAAAGGAATACCTGAGCTGACTTTGAACAGTGAGAAATAAATGAAGATCTAGGTGAAGATTCCAGCGAAGGGAAGAGTGAATGCCAAGGTCTTCAGTTGAGCTTGCAGTTGGGGTGGGGTGAACAAGACAAGCAGAAGAATTGTGGTGACAACAGTTCCCACTTAGATATCTGTTGTGACAGTGATAAGAGGCAGGGCATGGTGCTGAGCTCTGGGCCGGGCTGTCCAATGGCTTCTCTCCCCCTTTCTCCTCAAAATTCCCCACCGTGAATGGTGCCAACTTGATGTCCTGTCTCAGCTGGATTTTTGTTTTGTTTTATTTTGTTTTGTGTTGTTTGGTACCGGGGATCGAACTCAGGTCCGTGAGCTTCCGCAGCAGGCAGTGAAACCCCTGAGCTAAATCCCCGGCCCTCAGCTGGATTTCTAATAAATATCTACTGATCATATTCCCAAAGGAGATGGGAACAATCTCCTCTATCTAGGAAGCTGAAGATTTAATATGGCATTCTATTAGGAAAGAAAGCCATTCTGGGAACCAAAATCCTTGGGAAGGTAGAGAAATTAGTTTATTCTCAGCTTTTTTGGTATGTAGAATGGGAATTATAAACAGCTTTCCTTTATTTCTAGGAGTGTTTCAGGTTTTAAAAGGCCATTAGAAAAGAGGAATACTGCTGCATGAAATGATATTCTGTACAGACCCAGGGGACACTTTCAGGGCTAGAGTGGCATTAACTGTCCATTGTAATTCTTTTGAACAAACACTTAATGGAGAACGATAGTTAAGTGTCACCATTCTTATTTTACTAGCAAAGCCACACAACAGAAAGACAATCTGGCAGATGTGGTTTTAACATAGAACTCAATGGGGGTCAGTTAGTCAACATATATTTATTTGGCACCAATTATATGCCAGAGCCTATTCTAGCTGTTGGCAAATAAGTACTTCCCCTCAAGCAGTTTATATTCTAATGGGGGAGAAGCAGACAATGAACAAAGAAATAGATGCATGAATTCAGGAGTGGATAGATGAGACAGTGCTGTAGGAGAGGGTCATTCTAAACATTTATCTATTTTGGTTGGGCCAGAAGACCTCCTTGCAGACTGGACGTTTGAGAATAGAGACTTGAAGCAGGAAGAGGCAGCCAAGCTATGGTTTTCAAGCAGAACTAAAGTAGAAGGAGCTAGACAGAGGGTCCTCGTGTGGCCAAGATCGGGAGAGGAAGATGAAAGAGTCAGAGGAGTGGGACACAGCCAGATCCTACAGGGGCCTGTAGGCACAGGAAGGAGCTGGCCTGTGCATTACTGCTAGAAAATGGGCAGCCACAGGACGGGTTTAAAACTTGGGAGGGCCATTCTTTGACTGGGCTTTAGAAATGACTTACCTCAGCTGGGCGTAGTGGAGTATGCCTATAACCCCAGCACTCCAGGAGGCTGAGGCATCAGGATCATGAGCTCAAGCTCAATCTTGGCAACTCAGCAGTACAGTGGGACCCTGTCTCAAAAGAAAAAAGAAAATCAGGGCTGTAGATGTAGGTCAATGCAAGGGCCTTGGGGTCAGTCCTCAGTAACACACACACACACACACACACACACACACATGCAGAGTTTACCTCATGGAGTTATTTTGGGGGTTAAGTGGCAGATTACTCAGAACATAGTTTGTGTCATGGAACATGGTCCTAAATGTTCATTCTCTAAAAACTGGCTGGATGGTACAGACAAGAATGGAATCAGGGAGACCAGATTGGGGTCTGTTGCAGTAATCCAGGAGAGAATAGCTATTTAAATGGATTATAGCTGGAGATAGTTGGAATATATGGCTGTGTCTCTTTATTTCCACTATAGATAACCCCTGGTGCCTTGCTTGCCACACCTAGCCCCTGAATAACAGCTCTGGCTAAGTACAAGCCTCTTCATCAAGACTACCTACCTGCCCATGCTGCCCAATGGCCAGTGTCTTATGCTGCTACCCATTCTACAGCATCTCCCAGGATTCGGGAACTAGCTAACCCAAGTTCAAGGTATATCTGCTGAAGGCTAAGGTGGAGTAGGAGGAGCTGGGGGGCTGGGAAGAGAGCAGAAGCTGATCTAATAAGGCCAATGAAGAGGAAAGATACAAAAATTGCAACAGCTCATGCACTTGTTAAATTTATTATTACAAATAGATGGTCTTATCATGACTATAAGGTTACCACATAAGGGCTAGTGGACTAAGTATTGAAATCAGGAGACAGCTCTAAAAGTATGGATATGAAATTATTTATCTAGCACAATATTATTGAGTTAAAGGAATTGCAAAACAGAGCATATAATAGGGTGTGATATTTGTATGAAAAAATCATGATGGGCCACATACTGGCTTCACACGCCTATAATACAAGAAGCTAGGAGCAATGTGTCTTTGGGGACCTAGGGAACTGGGGTGGGAGGAAGATCTATTTTTCATTAAATAGGCTTTGATATTTTTTCAATGTTTTTGCTTCATGTACATGTATGCCCTCTTTCAAATCAAGAAAATACAGTTAACAAAGATGAAATTGGCTCTCATTCCTGTTCACTTTTTGGAGGACCTCTTAACTCGCCTCAATCCTCCATTCTGACCTTCACCGGTAACTCTTGACTTCTCTCACCTCCTTTTAAAGAATCTTTCTGAGAACCCAAGGGAAGCAGAAAAAGTGAAAGTCTTGAGCTCAGGGGGGAAGGAAATATGCTAGTTCTTACATAATGCTTTGAAAATATTATGGATTTTTAAAATTCTTTAAAAACATAAAGTTCATCATCAAATGAAATGAAGCTCGTTTTCTGTTCATTGAAAAGGGGAAGGGAAAAATACACTGGAGCACTTTATCAAGGGTTTATCCTAGTGGCAAGGTTATTGCTTGGTGGTCAGGTGCTGAGGGTGATAAACTTCAAAGTTAGATGGGGCGCCACCTGTCTTGCAAGCGCGAGGTCCTGAGTTTGATCCTCATTACCAAAAAAAAGTTAGATGGGGTGGGGAGTGGGGGTGTGTCTCAGTGGTAGAACACTTACCTAGCATGCTTTAGGTCCCAGGTTCAGGGCCTGAAGCACCAGGAAAGAGAAAGAAAGGAAAGGAAAGATAGAAGAAAGAAAGGAAAGAAAGAAAAGAAAGAAGGAAGGAAGGAAAGAAAGGTAGAAAAGAGAAAAACATAGATTATTTTTTTTCTAGTCCCCTAGAGGGCTATCTGGCATGTTTTAGCATTGCCAAGTTATCGAGAACCTTCCAGAATTTACTTTCTGTGGAAAGAGCAAAAGCTTTGGAATCTGACAGATGCACAAATCTGTATTTGACCATTGATGATTCTCATAACCTCTCTGTACCCTCATTTTGTTGTTTGGGAAGTGGAAGTCATGAACATAAAAATGGGGCAATAGCTTAGTGTTTAACACTTAGTGGTGCACGGGAAACATTAGTTCCCTTTTTATTTCCTCTTATCCCAGGTTGATTCTTTTCCTGCTATTCCAGGGGTCCTATGCATGTTGTATACTATGATCCTGATGTCTTTAAAGTCAAGCCGGCTGCTTTGAAAGCACAGTGTTCAGCACGGGTCCAAAAGTTGGCAGAACCTCTTGTACGTTAAGCGGAGAAAGTCAGGCCAGTCAGACACAGTTATGTATCTGGATAACTTAGTTCCCTACCCTGGTACTATCTGTTTACTTCCCCCAACTGGCCCCCAAGTATGAGACCTCCACGGAATACCACTGTGAGCATCAAGTAGCACCTGCTACTGTACCTGTAGCCAAACTGTTGGCAGGTTTGGGGATTTGGCATGCAATAAAAGAGACACTGAGAGCCAGCTTTGCTGTCCTTCCTACCTCCTCATGCATTGCATCATGGCTGCCTCACCGAAAGCCACTTTCTCTTCCATCCGTGGGCTTTTCTTTTCCTTTCCTGATGGGTTCCATGTCCTAGTGGATGATCCTGCCTCAGCCTCTTCTCGGGTAAGTCCTGGGAATTGAGATCATAAACACTTTTCAGAGCCTGTGGCTGACATTAGGGAACAGGTGACCATAAATGGTGACATCTCCACCAATCTCTTTCCTCAATTCTGCCTAAAGTCACTTATCACGAATGACTGAGAAAGCAAAATGTTGCTTTTAATAGCAGACAGTCCACTTTACTCTGTTGAATTGTACAGTATTAATTTTATTTTCTCCATGCAACAGTATTTTATAAATTAAACTAAATTTATGGGGCAGATCTAAATTTGCATGAAAATAAACTGACCTGCAAGCTTATTTTACAGATGGATGAGTTCTGTTTCAAGGTTTTGTGTTATAGAGAGGTGATCCTGCTCAGTAGTTTTGAAATCAGCCAGACCCGGGTCTCTATCTCTCTTGGGTCATCTACCAGATGTGTGATCTTCAACAAATTTCCCAACTCCTCAAGCTGCAGTTTCTTTATGTATAAGATGGGTTCCAACTGCATTGTTGCAAAGATTAAATGAGAAAATGTATATAATAAAACACGAATTTGAATAAAAAGATGTTTAAAAATTTAGCTACTAGTTTTATAGAGCCTGATTAAAACAGCAAACGTGGGTGGGGGATTTAGCTCAGCACCACAGCACTTGGCTGGCAAGCACAAGGTCCTGAATTCAATCTCCAGTACCACCCCCCCCCCCAAAATAAAACAGCAAATGCAGGGTCAAAAGCAAGAAAGGGATTTGGGGAAAGTTGTGGGGACTCAGTTCCCATCCCCCTTATGGAAGTCCTCCGTCTCAGCAAGCACTGCCCATCCACTGTGCTGCAGCCTGGCACACAGCCTCAGCACGCTGCTGGGGCCTGGGCACCTCTGAGAGGGCTCACTACATGATACAGTTACTCTGGCTACAATTCAGAGGCTGATCCTCACTACAGGTGCCCATACCAATTCAGAGTAGAGGAAATTGTCCCCTCTCCCCAATTAGACCAGGAGAAAGTGGCAGAATTGACATTATGTGATTTCCAAGCCGAGGACTCAAGAAGCCTGGAAAGTTCTGCTCTTTGCATTTTGGGAAGAAATCTAGACTCCCAGAAAGACCACATGCAAAGAGGCCATATCCACCTAACTGGCCTTGGAGTGCTCTGCAGGATGCGTCTGGGAGGGATCCAGGCGGGACCAGCAGAAGAGCTGCCCAAATGATCCACAGAATCAAGCCAGGAAAAGAATCTTATTGTTTTGGGGATAGGTTCTATAAAAGAAACAAAAACAAACAAAAAAAATTGTTTTGGTACTGAGGATTGAACCCAAGGCCTTCACACTGAGCTGTACCCCCAGCCCTTTCAAAAAATTTTCTTTTTAAAATTTGGAAACAATATCTCATTCCATTGCCCTGGCTGGGCTTGAACTTGCCTTCAGCTTCCCAGAATTCTGAGACTGCAGGTGTGAGCCATCACACCTCACACCTGGCAAGGAAAATAATTTTTTTGAATTCCCATAGTTTCTTACTTGTGTAGGGGGAGCTTTCCTTCTGCTCTGTGAAGATTTAGTAATTGAGTCAGCAGAAACAAATTGACAGTAATTAACAGGAGAAGAGGCCCAAAGGTCTATTGCTGGCATGGAAAGGGAGTATTCAATAACACAATGAGGTTTAGGAGCTTAAACACATCCACAAGAGAAGTGGAGTGTATTTAGAGAAAGTGTGCGTGATCTTTAGAGGAGAGGAATGAGTCCCAAGAACACAGTTGCTTGAAATGTTTGTGTGGGCTTTGGATATGGCGGCTACTGCAGCCCTCTTTCCTATGAGTTCATCTTTCTTGTTTGATAAGATTGCAGGGAGCAGGGTAGGATCATCGCATTCCACCTGGAGGAACTCCCTTAGTCAGATGAGGGAACATGGAGAGAAAGCTGCCCCCTGTGCTCCAAGAAAGTAAGAGTTGGAAGAAGGTCAAAGAGACCTTGAGGCTGCTTCTTTACTTGGAAACACCCCGTATGCAGGCAGTATGTTTTGGTTTATCATTTTTTGAGCCCTAACAGAAAGGACTCCTGTAACAAAAGACAGATTAGCAAGAGGAAAATAGAAACTTATTTCATATATACTTGGGAGATAATTCTCAAAGAGGTGGCTTTGAATTCCAGCTGATATAGCAAACTCAACAAAGCACAATAAAGTTTTAGGGATGTGACAAGACAAAGAAAAAAGACAGTGAGTCTCTAGGAGCAAACTTGTGCGAATGCAAATAAAGACTAGTTAGCAAAGCTTGTTAACGTAGGTTCCTCTGATACTGCCACCAGATGGGGCCAAAGGTGGTCCCCCCAAAGGACCTCAACTCAGTCTGAGCAGGTCCTTGATGTCTTCTCACAGAAAAGAATTTCAGGACCTGTCATCAAGAGGCATAGGCAGATTTATTAGGCTGAGAAAATGCGGAAGGAGGCATAACTCAGATGAAGTGAATCAGACTGACACATTAGCAAAGGGTCAAGGGCAGATTTTAAGTGGTTGCTGAATGGGCTAGGGTCTGGTTGGTCATCATCTCAGTTCTGGTTTTGCAAGATGGCACCTGCGAAGTCCTTACCACTTCAGAGGACAACTGGTCTGCATGAGATGACCGCTTTTGCTTGGGACAGTTTCAATTTTGGAGGCTCTTCTGGAATCTGAAGTGACTGCAGATTTAGGGGAATAGCTGGAGAGTTTTAGGTGCCCATTGGCAGTTGAATGTCCCTGTAAATCTCTTTTCCGGAGGTCCTCAGTCCTTAAGGAGGATGAGGAAAAATTGTGTAAATTTAGGGCTAATCAACCTTGTAGATAGACTCTCCCTAAATGACTAACATTCCCAGATGAAGGGCTGAGCAGGGGTCTGCCCCAAAGTTTTAAGATAATGAAGGAGACACATACAAAATAAATGACAAGCTTTGTTTTGCTTTTAGTTATTTGTCTAGGTCCAAGCAAAAAAAATCACTGTTTTTGCCACAAGCAGCTTTTAAGTCCCCAACAACCTCCAATGAAAATATAAATCATGATTTTAATGAGTAACAGGCTCAGGGCCCAGGAGTGGATGTGCCCTTTGGCCTCGTGGTCTCTGACCATCTCAGTTCTATCTCTAGGCCAAGAAGGGCACAAAATTGTCTTTTGTGGTTAACTTTTGTTTTCCTCAGTGGAAGTGGGGACAGCACATCTTTTATCCCTATAAATCTTTGTCTGGATTTTAGACAAATGAAGAGAGGGCAGGGAGGTTTCCTGTATCAGCTGCTTCTTAATTGTCTTCAGCTCAATAGTACATCATTTGGGCTGCAGATTTAACTCAGTGGTTCCACATCCTGCCTCGTAAGTGCAAGGACCCGAGTTCGACCCCTGGTACCAGAAAACAAAAAACAAAACAACAACAACAAAAAAACCCAACACATCATTTGGGGAGAGAAATTCTGGTACCCCACTGCTGGTTATTCTGCAATACAGTAGTCCCCCCTTCCTTTGTGATGCCTAGAAAGCATGCTCTAAGACCCCTAGTGGATAGTGCTGAACCCTATATATTCTGTATTTTTCCTGTCCATTCACACTTATGATAATGTTTAACTTGTAAACTAGGCACAAAGAGATTAGCCATAACAACAACATCATAGAACAAGGATAAATAAAAGTTATGTGAAATATGGTTTTTATTTTCTCTCTCAAAATAACTTACTGTACTGACTTAGCCTTTTTTCGATCCTATAAGATGATCCAGTGCCTCCATGGTGACATTAAGTAAGTCAAAAGAAACAGACATTGTGTCATAGTGCTAGACTTCTAGTGACCCTCTGCCATATGCAGAAGGGGATCACCTGCTTCAGGTGATCCTGTTTGTAATTTTTTTTCTTAGGAAGTTGCAGGCATAACTTTTTTTGCTTAAAGGGAATATTTTACAGCTTCTCTTTGGCATGTTTGAAAATTGACTTTGGAATCATTATTAAGTAAAATAAGGGTTATGTAAACACAAATACTGTGATACTACACTAGTGACAGTGGATCTGATAAATGGGATGGTCAGTGATTACTAATGGGCAGGTAACATATATGGTGTGGATACACTAGACAAAGGGATGATTCATGTTCCAGGTGAAGGGCACAGGGGGATGCAAAATTTCATTATGTTACTTAGAACAACGTCCAGTTTGAAGCTTATGAATTGTTTATCCCTGGAAATTTCCGTTTAATATTTTCAGACTCAATTGACTTCAGGAAACTAAAACTTTGGGAAATGAAACTGCAGATAAGGGAATTGCTGTGGTTAACAGAAACAGGGAAGAAGCTAGTGGAAGAGAGGACTGAAGGTTAACTGGGACTGGAGTTGGGTAAGGGGAGTGGTTCTGCCAGCAGAATTTCCAACAGCTTCTGAGCATGACCTTGGCTGTAGATGCTTCTTTCTTTAGGGGTTTTAAGTCCCCCCATCAACTCCTGTGAACCAACTCACAGCAGACCTGAACTGGCTGGCCTGTGGGAGCCTAGGTGAATTGAGGCAGAGGAGTGTATGGGCCACAGGGCCGAGCCTCCCACCCTACCCAGCTCCTCACTTCCTCCCAGAAGGCTCTGATTTCTAAGGGCCTGTCTGGGGAGATCCTGGCCCAAGGCCACTCTTGGCAGCAGAGATGAACCACTGGCAGTCAGGACAGGCAGCCTGAGACACGTGCTCTTTCATGGCTTGCCATGATTTGCCTTTTCCATCTAGGAGGAGCTGCTGGAGATCATCCTGACCCACCAGCAGCATGTGTCTGCCTGCCCATGACTCTCTATCACCAAGGTGTGGCCTGCAGACCTTCCAGGATGTTGACATCCTGGGCAGGACTACAAGACAGGGCAGGCATCAGGCCAGGGAGGGAGAAAGGTGGCTATGGGGAGGAGAACAGCTGGACCTCAGTAGGAGGTGGGGAGCAGGTGACTCTGGAGGCCTGGGACACAGAGGATGGGCAGC